ATTAGTAATTACTGTCCCCTTGGTGCCCCCGATTCGAATTTGTTTATATCAGACATAAGTGTATATTGATATTCATCAGACCACATTTTGATGACTGTGTTGATAACATCTTCTGTTGTGTGGAAACTTCCAGTTCTAGCAAACGCCCCCAAATTTTGACCAGCCCAACGGAAATCAGCTAATTTTTTTATTTTTAAAAGGAAAAGATTATTAAGATGTAAAACGATGAAATTAACTTCACTTACGGGTGTTGCGGCAAGAGTCGTGTGCCTGTCACAAAAACACATAAAGTACATTAAAAATAGTCTCAAAAGGTTTCATATAATTACCATTTGACATGATCTGACATTCAAACTTGCAAGCCATGCCAATTGATCATTCCATGTAACTCTAGCCATTCTTTTTGCTGGCAAAAATACGCCAAAGCCTCCTGCAGCTATTTGATTTCTTTTTTGGTTGAACGTATCAAGAATGAGGTTTTTTTGAGTAGATGTTAATGAGAGTTCTCTAGGATTAACACATCTCGAGTGAAATTGCTGAAATTAATCAAATTTATTGTAATTAAAATGATTTTTTTAAAATATTTACGCCATTGTGGTTACAAGCGATGTGGCTGGTTGGGGGACATCCTTNAATAGTCTCAAAAGGTCTTATATAATTACCATTTGACATGATCTGACATTCAAACTTGCAAGCCATGCCAATTGATCATTCCATGTAACTCTAGCCATTCGTCGTGCTGGCAAAAATACGCGAAAACCTCCTGCAGCTATTTGATTTCTATTTCGGTTGAATGTATCGAGAATAAGGTTTCTTTGAGCAGCACTAAACGTAATTGCTCTAGGACTAATACATCTCGAATGAAATTGCTGAAATTAATCAAATTTATTGTAATTAAAATGATTTTTTTAAAATATTTACGCCATTGTGGTTACAAGCGATGTGGCTGTTGGTGGCACATCCTTGCATGGTACACCAATCTTGACATGTTGCAACAGTCAAAAGACCGAATAACAAAAGCAGAACTTTAAGATCCATTTCAACTCAACTTCAAAAATTGAATGGCAAAAATTTTAAACTGTGAATTTATAGGAAGTAAAAATATTCGCGACAAGATTCTTTGATCTCTTTCGCATTGATTGATTAATGATAAGTTGATAGTTTAAACCACTTGATAAGATAAAAGGATTAGCGAAAAATGGAGTTATGAATACAACCTAAAGCGGGAGGAGTTGCGAAAACTCTTAATTTCGAATGCGATTTTCTTCACTAATTTATATTTTTATAGCTTAAAACTTTTTTGAGAAGTAGAGCAGATAGTTCAAAGTAGTTCTCTGAAAAGTTTTGAGCCAAAAAAATCTAAAATAGTGATGAAAATCGCATTCGAAATTGAGTGTCTTAACATCTCCTACCGTTTTTAACTGTGTTCATAATTCCTGTTTTCCCCTATTTATCACTTAACATGAAAGCTTATTTTTTTCTGTGGAAAGATTAAATTTATTTTATGGTGACGATTTAAAATTGTATAATCATTTTATTTTATCACTTCGTGGAAATTGTTAGACAATAAGCCGTTCAACCTCAATTATAAATAGATTTTATTTAAGTCCATCAAAGTCGTGAATTTTCGTCACACACGACAAAATTTTGTCAATGTTGTTTAAAAGTCGTGAATATTGTCACCAAGCAGTCCAAAAGTCTATATTCGAAATAGCGAAAGCACTTGAATCATTTTTAAATCATCACTTAAAGTTTCAATTTGAATTTAATACTCTTTCATTTTTTTTTGATTGATGATACTTTTCAAATAAGTTAAGTAACTGTGAAGTTGAAGAAAACTTCCCAGGCTTCGTTCAGCAATACGATGAACTCAAATTCAGAGAAATGCGAATAAAAGTTTTATTAAAGCTGTTGAAAGTTCTACTTTATTTCAAGTTCTCTTTCAGAATTTGAAAGCGAGTACACGCTTCAGTATTTATAGCATAAATTACTCTCCACCCACGCCCAGGGAAACAAACAGAACAACTTTTTAAACTCTGAACAATTGATTGATGATTAATATCAAGGAAAACATAGAATCGTTATTTTGTGTACTGCCTCGTTGTTAAAATTACACAGCTGAAGTAATTGAATTAAAGCAAGCTTCAATAACTTGCTCAACAAATTGAAATATTTTCGGTGAAATATTTGAACATAGTTTTATTGTAAATATTTTATTCGATTTCTAAAATATATTATGAAAGATTCTACACCCATCAAATGTCATTTCAAGCTATATATATCATTGTCATCTATAATTGTGCATTGAAGAAGAAGCAAACTGACAGGTTGAACAACATACATGTGTCATTTATAAACATGATAACCTTCATTGTGTTGTAGATATCAACATAATCTTTAAATATCATCACAATTTCTAGGAAATTCGTTCATTATAGAAATTTTCCGACAAATTCTTAAGTTGCTGTAAATTTTTAATAGTCATCAAGACATTTAGTAATACACGCCACTATGAATAGAAGAGAAAATGATGATGTGAAATATTCAGCAGATCACGCTTAGTATTGTAAAATTAGAGGTTTCCGGTTTTTTTTTCATCAAAGTTTAAAGAACCAGTTTGATGAAATTATTTCGTCTAACATCTTCAGTCTCAGTCTTTTGTCAAAAGAGTTAATAACAAATTAAAACGTTTTTTTGAGAAATGTCGGAAGAATTTAGAGAAATTGATAAAGAAGTTAATCATCCGGTGGAAATTACTGAGAAAGAAAGATTTCATACAGGAATCACTTGGTTTGATCCACTCTTTGTAGTGATAGCCTTGGTCTATGGATTCACAAGGTTAACAACTTTAGTTTTAGTTTCATTCATGAAAAAAGCTTAAAAATATCTTCCTTAGATTTCTAGAACTATTAACAGGAACTAATGGCTTTTGGGAAAGAAATTGGATAAAGTTCATTGATTTTTGCGGTATGCTGACGATGGGAAAATATTTCTTACTTAAAAACTTCAATTTTAGGTTGCAATGAACATGATTTCGATATTTGGGTGTCAGCAGCATTTCTTCTCTCTGTCTATTGGTCAGTTTCATGCCTCATTCTCTATCTGAATTATTCCGGAAAGTTGAGCAAATATAAAGTTCAGCCAGGCAAAAATGAACCGATGGATACAAGGAAATTGATTGAAGTACGTAGATTGGAAGTGAAATGGAATGAAATTAAATTTTAAAATCATTTTTAGTCAGTCTTCACAGTGATTTTCAATCAAATATTTATTTCCATAACATTCAGTAGTGGATCGTATTGGTTATCTTATCTACTTTTGGGCGATCGAAACATAAAAGAAGTGACGAGTTTTCCAATCTTAATGAGAGATTTGTTTATATGTTTTTATGTTTTCGATTTCGCATTTTATGTTGCACATCGAATTCTTCATTCAAAATATTTTTACAAGAGAATTCACAAGATTCATCATGAATGGATAGCACCAGTTGGTGTTGTTGCAGTTTATACCCACCCAACAGGTATTTTAAATATTTCAGGTTTCATTTACAATTAATTATAATTAAAAATTATTTAAATGTCTCTTTAGAACATCTTATAACAAATTTGGGTTCTGCGATGCTTGGCCCTGTTGTTGTCGTGGCTCCAATTTCCACGGTTTGGGTATGGTTCTCAACCGTCATCATAACGACAGTGACAGATCACTGCGGATATCATTTTCCCTTTCTCAAGAGCCCCCAATTTCATAATTATCATCACACGGCCTTTACGGAATGTTTTGGAACGAATGGCGTCATGGATTTCATTTGTGGAACTGATAAGCGGTTCAGACAGTCAATTAACTTTAAGCGACATCGAGTCTTATTCTCACTCACCAAAACAATAAGAGATATTTTTGTGAAAAAAGATCACATATCTAAGATTGTGGAGCCAAAAATGGAATAAAATGATGTGATTCTGATCAAAGGAAAAGTTTTTATTTTATTTGATACTTTTTGGTGTCTATCAAAATAAAAAAGTTTCGCTCGGTTAACCCGAGAGTTTATTGACAAGAAATCGATAAAAACGGATTGATTTTAGTGCAAAGCGAGTGGGAAGGTAAGCGTGATTATTTATGATGATTCTTGAGTTTTAGCATTTAATTACGTGACAACTTGGGGTTGAAGTGTTAAAGAAACTTTTCACTATTGTTGTGGAATAAAATGGAAAGGAAGAAAAACATAATTGGATCTGAGTTCATGAATATGAAAATCAAAAATTAAATTGAGAAAGTCTTCGATTTTGTTCAATTGTATTTTTATTCTGACCAACAATTTTAAGGCAATCAATTTTGTTTGGTATTATGATGGGAATGATTTCTTGAAAGTAACATCGAAATGAATAAATCATTGTTGGTTTAAAGCCTGAAGAAATTTGAAGCTAACTCAACCAACATTCGTGGAATTGAATGAACGCAAAACCTTCTGCTTATTGAGCTGCTTCAAGTCTTAAAGCCGCCACTTGAATTCGCTTTTTGTGGAATTGAAACGTTTCAAGATACTTCACTCTTCACTTCATAACATTATTTGTCAGTAAGGTGAGTGGGGGCTTCTGTTGTTTTATTTACATCTCTAATGGATCGGTGAATTATGGAAAACAAAAAAGTTTGATAGCATATTTACATAAATAAAAACATAAATATATACAAAGAGCAGCCAACAAACAAAAATTTCGCAAACTGAATAAATTTTCCGAAACATAATTCCTTTAAATTGGATTTTGAAAAGTTTCTGTATTGCCTTTATTTTCGAAATATTTTCCACAATTTTCCGCGAAGCGAAACTTGTTTGGTAGGAAAAGCTTATATGTGTGTTTGTGGAAAAGCAAAGTGGCTTGTGTTGTAAATCAAACAGAATCCGATTTTAATTGTTCAGTTAATCTTTGAATTATTTTTTGCTTTATTATGATGAATGAGTTATTGAAGCTGCTATTAAATTCTTGGTTTATTAAATTTCACAAAAGTTATGAATTTTCCGATATTTGTTTCTATGGTTTATGAATAACATGAAAGCGAAAAATGTTTTATTAATTCTGATAAATATGTGAACAATGCCAGGAGATTTTCATTCTTCTAGATATTAAGAAAAAAGTTTTAGGAAACTAACGCACTGAATTTAGTTTTGGAAAATATCAACAACGCGTTGAATTGTGAAAGTTAATTATTAAAAAAGAAAATAATTCGTAAATAATTCTTTCAGTTCTATCCTCGTCTTCATGAGAAAATATTAATTTCAGGAAGCTGACAAAGTGAAAAGATTTAAGGATCAATTCGAATAATCTATTTATGAAAACTTAAAATATTCTTCGCTAAAACTCATGAAGTTTTCAAAAGCATGTGAGATTTGTCTTCTTCAGATCATTTCCATGTTTTATTTAAGACTCCAGTAGAATTCATTTTATTCCAAAGTCTAAAATGTTTTCTTTACTTTCATATGTTTTCGTCTTCACTGATGAAGGATTTTCCAATTTCAAATCTTCAGGAAGTTTGTTTAACATATTATGTAATTATACATAAATGTTTACAAAGATAACAACATCTTTTATGAACATGAAATGTAATCATTAAATAAGAAATCTGTTATTAGATATTCTGACAGAAGCTTCGAATTTTAAACAGATTTTCTAATAAAGATCGATTTACATTAATAAACTGCAAAAACGAAATTAAAGACACGAATTAAATTAAATTGCACACTCATTTTCGGAATTGATTTTATGCAAACAGATTGTGAAATGTAAAATTTACATAAAGCATTTATATGTGATAAAATAATGATAAATATAATTAAATGTATGTTTAAATGGATAAAATTGTGCAGATAATCCTTCGACAATCTTGATCATTTTTAATCTGTTAAATTAAATTGAAGTAAACCAAAAATAATTAAAATTCAATGGAATGACAAACTGTCTCGATAAAGGGAAGAAAGTAGCTACAAACCTAAAATCTAATCACCAAAACTAACAAAAGAAAGTAAATTTAAATTGAAAATCAAAGAAGTCATGAAAGAAAGATGAAAGGAAACTTTTTCTTTTGTTAAGATTGTAATCAATTTGCTTTTCAACTAAGGGTTATTGGATTCTTTATTTGCTGATTCTTCTCTTCCTTACCGAGCATGATTAAAGTATTGAATACCTGAACAGACAAAGTTCGTCCCAGCTTCAAGAACATGGAATCCAAATTCAAGCTTTCCACCATCAACTGGTTGAATGAAATAAATTTTGATTATGTTCATCTGACTAACATATAAATTCTTCAATTTACAAACGTTCATACCAACTGCAAGCATCATGAATTCTCAGCGCCCACTGCGATAACTTCCACTGTGTTGTCATCTGACGAGTATATTTCGCTATGGGAAAAGAACGAGAGAAAGCGAGCAACACAGTATGAGTAATCCTGTCTGATGGCAATCGAAATGACTTTTAATTTCCGATGTTCAACTTCCCAAAAATGTTGTTAGAAAATCTCTATCCAGGAATACATTGTACGTTTGAAACTCATTTTCCAAGTACATTTGCTTAGGCATTTTCCTCATAAATAGCTTCACAACTATCATGTTCTATTATTTATTACCCGAATGTGCTTTTGATATTATCATGTGAAGTAAGGAAGCATTTAAATTAGAATTTCATGTCAAATTTCAAACATGAACTGACACGTTCTGATGAATGTCTTTGGGATCAGAATAAACTCAATTGACAAAAACTTCCGGTGACATATGTAACTTAAATCCTTTCATAATTAATCAGGTAACACCGACAAATGAATTATTAAGAGATTAAATAATTATTCATCGTATTCAGTTTAATAATTTTAACATCTGATGTTTACACTCTGTTGGTGCATAATTTAATGAATAAAATTATTTTCGTATTTCGTTAAAAATTGCCGAATAAAAGCTTTATGGGATTTACATTCAATTTAAAAGTTCATCGCTCCAGCTCTCAAAAATGTTTAAATTATTCTCATATATGTGTTATTGTAGCACTTTTTATAGATTATAAATGAATGTTGTTATTTAAACGACGTCTTTATAAATCTTTTACAGTTTTATTTCGAAGCGGAAAGAGACAATATTGAGAATCTGATTCAGAACATTGAAAGAAAGTCAAATGAGCTCGTTTAGTCAAATCTTCGTTTATTTCAATCCAATATTTTTCTATTATTTTGCAATTTTTACTATCGGAAAATGTTTTGAGTTGACTTTTAATACCGGAAGCATCTGGGAATGGAGTTGGAGGCAAATGATTGCAAGATTCGGAGAAAATCCTTCAATTTATTCAACTTGGATTCTCAACATTTATGCTTACATCGTCTATTGGATTTTTGGTTTAACTCTTTTGTTAATGGAAAAGTTTCATTCGCCAAGAGGACTCGAAAATTTTAAAATTCAACAACACAAAGAAGACATTCTCAAGAACCAACAGAGATTTTTTAAAGTAAATATTTAAAAATAATTTTAAAGCAATTGAACATTGATACTGATTATTATTCATTGGGATTTTAGACAATCAAAGTTGTTATTTCAAATCAACTGCTAAGTATTGCTTTAAGTCTTTTTTTAACTGGTGTTGGTGGAAACTTTCTGCAGTTACAAACATCTCGTAATTTACCAAGTTTTTTTATAGTGATGTGAGATCTTCTACTTTGTAAGTTCATTCATAAAATTTTATTTTATTACTCGCATCGCATTCTTCATCACAAGTTTCTCTATAAAATGATACACAAAATTCATCACGAGTATCAAACGCCAGTTGGAATTTCAGCAATTTATTGTCATCCCATTGAGCACGTCTTCAGCAATCTTCTACCAGTCGTCGCAGGATTTCCTATCCTCAAATGTCACGCAACAACCGCCTTGTTATGGATTACAATTGTGATTGTCACGACAATCAACGATCACTCTGGATTTCATCTTCCCTTCCTACACAGTTCACAACTTCATGATTATCACCACTTAACGTATGAAAATTTCTCTTAATTTTAATCAATAAATATTTTTATGTTTGTATTCAAGGTTCAATGCTAATTATTCTGTCTATGGCTTCATGGATTTCTTACACAATACGTTTGGGAATTTCAAACTCGACAATCACAAAACTCTCTTCACATTTAATTCTCCTTCTTCTAATTCCTTTTCTAAGTAAAAGATCGCAGAATGATTAAGCTTAATAGTACTAAATAACGGTTTATTCTATTATATCTGTAAGAACAACGTCATAAACGTTGCGAAAATGTGCAAAGAAGAATTGCTGAAGATTGATCACAACCATAAATAAACTTTATTAAAATTATCACAAGCAAATGTGGCAACAAGCAAAAAGAAAAAAAATTAAAAGAGTTTATTTAATTTATTTTGTTTCAATGTATGGAGTACATACAAAATTTAAAGTCACAACGAAAACAAAAATAAAGATCGAATGCCTTCACATTTCGTTTGAAGACGTAAACGAATCAGTCAATATTTTGTATGAACTTAAATCAAACGTTGAAAATGAGTAGCGGTGTGAAGACGAGATCAAAAGGGAGCTTTCGGTTAGATTTTAATCCATTGTTTTACTGGGTGGCGTTAATTTATCTAATCACAAGGTAGGAAGTTATGAAAATTAAGCATTCAACTTCAGTACATGTTTGAATTTGTTTCACTTATCGTAATCTATTTAAGTATAGAAAGATTTTATTGCTTTGTTTGTTTATGATCCTTTGCAAAAATTACAAGAATGAACGAAGACATGTTTTACAACATCAATCAATATTAAAATTTCCAACTAATATTTCAGAATAATCCAATTTATGACAGGAACTGAAAACTTCTGGTCAAACTTATGGCTTAAGCTTGTTGATTATTTTGGTAAACTGCAAATGTCCGTAACCAAGAGTTGATATGATAATTAATATTATTTTACGTAGACAATGATATGTACACGATGCAGGTGTGGGTTAGTTCCTTCTACACCATTGCACTTTATTGGTCAGTTGGAATAATTTTTATTATGATGGACATCACAAATAAGCCCGCTTTCTTCCGCAAATATAAAACACAACCCGAAGCTCACGTTCCGCTTGAAATTGGGGTCTTTTGTATGGCATCTTTGCGTGTATTATTTAATCAATTCTTTGTTGGCATTCCTTTTACTTATTGCTTACATCAACTGAGTATAACCATGGATATGCCAAGCATAAGAGCCGTCCCAACATTCCAGAAACTGATGCTTGATCTATTATTGATGGGAATCGTTTATGAGTTTGCTTTCTACTATTCCCATCGTCTCTTGCACCATCGACTTATCTATAAGTACATTCACAAAGTACATCATGAATGGACCGCTCCAGTTAGTACTATGGCAATATACGCTCATTGGATAGGTTTGTTTTAGGGCTAGGAATTGAAATTGATGTTCCAAATTAACATAAAAACTTTTCATTATATTCATGCATTCAATTTCAATTCCTAACTCTTTTCTCTCTATTTTTTTGTTTTCATTTAAAATTCCCTTATCAGCAGAGATTTAAAGTTCAAATGATTTATTTCAGAACACATATTAAGCAACATTTCACCAGTCATTATAAGCATTATTGCTGTAAATGCTCCTTTATCAACAAGTTGGGTGTACTTCACAATGACAATTGTGACAACTCTCGGAGACCACTCCGGTTATCATTTGCCATTTTTACACAGCCCACAATTTCATGATTATCACCATCTGAAGTTTAGTGAATGTTTTGGCGCGCTTGGATTTCTAGACTGGGTTCATGACACAAGTAAAAAGTTTGACAAATCGGTCAACGCTTTAAGGCATCGAAGTTTGTTCACATTGAAATCTGCTAATGAGCTTTTCCCCGATGAAACAAATAACAATGAGAAAAAGAACGAATAAAATAATTGAATGAGATTTATATGCTTAAGCATTGTTGTACAAATATTTCTGATCAAATGTATTCCCTTCGTTCCATTGGATTATGTTATCATGTTAGATTGAAGACAGTTTAGGCAGCTGTGTGTTGATGTCTTTTTTCAACATATTTCTCTGTGAATAAAATAATTGCTTTTTAATTGAATCTTTTTTGCATACCAAATTTTTCTTTTTATAGATACAGGAAAAAGGTAGAAAATTTTCAGGAATAAAATAACCGGAAAAAGGGCCAACCTTATATAAATATTTTCATTCACTTGTCTATTGATTTAAAAACTGCCCTTGTTGGGTATTTATCGTTATAAAAATGTTACAGTGCGTAAGCTTTACAATAAATCAAATAACAAAGTGACCCCTTGACCCTCCCCAATAAAACTTTCAATTTGAATTTCGGTCATGGTTCAAATGGTTAAACTTTTATCAAAATTAGTTGGTGAAATTTTGTTCTTCTTACTTTTACAACAATTTCTCTTTGATTTATATGAAATATTAATTAAATAAGCTTTTTTTTGTCTGCATATTTATCTACGTAAATGAATGACAAGCAACGTAGATGTCAACTGAATCATTAAAGTTTAAATAAAAAATAAACATCTTAATCATTAGCATGACAATAATGAAGTCATTTGTTTTTAACAAATCCAGTAGATTTGTTACTTCCTAAGAAAGTAAATACACTTAGCACCAGGCATGATTTGAAAGAAGTTGTTTTACATTTTAAACGCACATCTTTGTCTCGTCGTTATTTCGTTCTTTTGTATTTTTTTGAAGAAAAAATCGAACGTTCGAGTTGAAAATTTTTAGATTCACCGCTCCAGAGGTGCGTTGATATTTGCTAATCAAATTATCGTTCTAGTCGTTGGTAAATATGACTCGACAGTCTAACGATGATGCTTACAAAAAAGAGCTGAAAATGACGATTGCAATTTCAATACAATTAACACTTTTGACACTGAACGAAAGAAAAAGTTCTTGGAAAATTGTTGATTGAAATGTTACATAAAAAAGTTTTATTTATGTTTTTAAAAAATTCACATTCAATCACATACTAAACCCAAATAATGAAATCAGCAAGAAGCTCTTTAATAAAAATGAAAGAAAAGTTTTAAAATATTTTTTGAACAGTGTAACAAGTCACGACTCACGAATATTACTCTCGTACGAATTTATAACTGATGCAGTGACCACTTGACTCTCATTCCGTCGATAACCATCAAAGTGTTAATAACTAAGTGAAGTGAAAAATGAAAAAAATCAAAAGTGTCGTGAAGTTTTGTGATCCATTGTTCTTTTATATCATCGCGATTTATGGGATAAGTAAAGTGTATCAATATGGATATAAAACTGAAAGTGTTTGGCAAATCCTTTGGGATCGAATACAAGAATTACTTGGTAGTTGATCAGACTTGAAACCTTGAATTCAATTGTGAATAAATGAAGATTTTGTTTAGGTGACAATCCATTCAACTATTATGTGATGTTTCTCAACATCGCACCAAACACACTTTATTGGACATTTGGATTATCGCTAATGTACTTGCAACATCTCAACACGGCGAAGTTCTTCAAGTACAAAATTCAACAAGATAAAAATACTTTGGAGGATTGGCCAAAAGTTCGAAGTGTGAGTGATGAAAATTCAATGTGCTTCGATGTTTTTTCAGGGTCAAAGTAAAGATAAATTTTATATCTTTTGTGATGATAGGCTATAATGCTTGTGCTTTTCAATCAGTTTCTGGGATTCCTTGAGTCGTGGTTAATGTTTTCATTGGGAAATCTAATTGGATTTCAAATGACTCGAGAATTGCCGAGCTTTTCACGTGTGATGGTCCAATTATTTGTCTTCTGGGCGTTTCAGGAAGTTTTCTATTATTACAGTCATCGTCTTCTTCATCACAAATTGATATATAAACATATCCACAAGAGACATCATGAGTTTACATCACCCGTCGCTGTTATCGCCATGTACAGCCATCCTATTGAAAATCTTTTTAGCAATGTTCTTCCTGTTGTCGGAGCTTTTCCGCTTTTGCGGCCACACATTTTAACTGCAGTTTTATGGGTCTGCATTGTTTTGATAACAACGCTCAATGATCATTCTGGACATCACTTGCCTTTCCTACACAGCCCAGAAATTCATGATTATCATCATTTGACGTAAGTTCCTCTTCATGACAATTAAAAGCCAAACTTTAATATAAATTTTAATAGATACAACACAAATTACTCGATTTATGGTATTATGGACTTAATCCATAACACTTATGGAAGTTTCACAAAGTCACATAATTATGTGCATCACCAAACATTGTTCACTACGAAATCAGTTCGTGATCTTTGTCGAGAGAAAGAAAAAGAATGCGTCAATTGAAATGTTCTACGACAATTCGAAGCGGACCTCGAAGAAGAAAATTGCGCAACAAATAATGTCTTAATCAATATTTAAGAATTGGTTTCTGTGAAAACAAATGAATTTTCACACTTTTATACATTTAGTTATTCAACCGCTTTAAGGGAGCGGTAAGAGATGATAAACAATAAGTTATTTAAAAAAACATCGTATTAGCTCAAACAATGTAAAAATCCAATCTTATTTGTATATAACAGCACAACTAAATAACTTTTGAACATCAAAAGGAATAAAATTAACCACAGTTGTCTATTAGCAATTCTCATTTTGTCTCAACTCAAAACTATTTCAATGATTTCTAAGCTGTGACAATGTAGATTTGTAATTGCAATTTCAACTTTCTTAATTCCAGTGAGAATTGCTATTTGTTTGATATGTAAACTATTAAAAATAAGAAATAATCTTCTAAGTAATTGCTACAAAGTTACAAGATTAACACTTTAGACTGATGTTTTGTATGTGAAATTAACTCCAAGTTCTTTTAAAGAAAATATTAACTGTGACAATGTATCCAGTATGAAAACCTTTAACCAAATAAATAGTCAAACAGGTGTGAAGTTCATTGAGTTGAGTAAATGTTTCTTAAAGAACTTTAACAAGACATTTAAATAATGCAAACAGATGCTGAGAAGTGAGAATTTGTCGTAAGTGTTATTGAATATATTTTTGTAAATGGCATATCTATGTAAGATTATGTGCAATCTAAAACTTTTTCCATCATAGTCATTTAAAGTGATAATTAAATCATATCGAAAGTTCTCTTCTCGAATAAGGGAAGAATATAAAAAGCAATTTGATTAGAAAACTTTTGACCATTTAGGAACAAATGTTAACATGTTGACATGTTTTATTTTCCAATTCAACTTCCCTTATTAGATTGATTGTTCTTTATACATCATCTTCTTCAACGCCCTTCACTCTTCTTAAAAGTTGTTTAAAAATGTATAAGTTATTTGTACTTATATGTTTCTTATTTTAACAACTTCTTTGGAATGGAAAAAACAGAAACTTGTCACTTTTTCATGAAGCAGGCAACTAACCTTTTTTTTATTGCTATGAAATGCTAAAGCTTTTAAATGGAACTCAACCTAAGATGAAAATTTGATTTGGGACGACATAAAGCATTGAGATAATATTTAAATAAATGTATGAAGAATAGTTTATTGTATTGTAATAAAAATGTAAAAGTCAGAAAAAGAAAGAATTTGAGTATTTGAAATAAAAACTTTATTTCTCAGCGATGTTATTTATCACGATTTTTTATTTGACATCAGAATGTTTATGATTGTAAATTCTATAAAGTTTTTTTCACCACTCTATCAGGATATCTTTCTCTAGCTGACTTGAGGGAAAACAGAACACGATGCCTCGAACTGTTTATTGTTTCACGGAAAAGTTTGTCTGTGTTGTGAAGTCGGTCAAGAAGTCCCAACTTTCCAAAGCACTCAACAAATCTGGAATGAGAAAGTTAGTCAAATCAAAGCCAGCATAAATTAACGTCAATCTTACTTTAGATGATGAAAATCGTGAAACTCAGACGAATGACTAAACGGTAAGTGATACCCGCTGTGGTTGTTGAGGGTTGTTAAAATAGCAATCGTTATCCAAATCCACTGAACAGAAGTATGACTTTGCATGATCATAGAACCTCCAGCTACTGGTAAGACGTTACTTAGCATATGCTCAATTGGATGGCAATAAGTAGCAGTGATAGCAATCGGACTTTGCCATAGATGATGCTGCTTATGAATGTGCTTATAAAAAAATCCTTTGTGGAATAAACGATGTGAATAATAAAAGCCAATTTCATCGACTAAAATGCACACAATTAGATCCAACACAACCCTTTCAAAACCAGGCACATCTCGAAAGTTTTCAGGAAATCCTTTTCGTCTTTTTACATAGTAACCGAAATAAGCTAAAGGAATTCCAACAAATATTTGATTAAAGAGAATAACTTTAATTGCGTCGAACAAAGTTTTCTTATCAATCGCTTCATTTGTGTTTGGTTGCACTTTGTACTTTCTTAATGATTTCGGACTTAACGTTAAGTCCATGAAGGTAAAAATGCTACCGAAAATCCAGTAAACACAAAAAGAAAATATTGTCGTCCATACAACGTAAACACCGAATGGTTCATCTCCAATGACGTCAATAATTTTGTTCCAAAGCCTTGACCAAAAATGTTGAGTTCCAGTAAAAACTTGTAAAATGCTTAAATGAATTTGAAATAAATTTCTCAGAATAATTTGATTCAGCCATAACTCACCGTGTGACAAAGTATGTAATGATGACAATGAAGAAAAGAGGATTAATAATTAGCTTTCGATCAGTCTTTTTAAGATTTTTTTTATCATTGCTGATTAATTCTTTGGATTTTTTATTATCTTTCATTTTATTTGATTAAAGTTTTGTATTTTTAGTTTTTCAACATCATCAAAAGCATTTTAAACTGTTTCGTTTTGTTTTTAATTAGATAACTAAATGATTTTAAGCTGAGTACAAGAGTTTAACAAAATAATAGACCTTGGTACACGCTGCTGATTTTTATGTTTACAAATTTTGATTTTTCAATGTTGCACAATGTTGAACAATGTTTTATGACGCTTGTTGAGCATTGCTGAGCACAGCTGAACATCATATGTTTAAACATTAAACATTCTCGATGTATTCAGTAAAAATTTCACAGAAATTTTTCTAGGCCATTAAAATTGAATTAGGCCTATAATAAAGATTTGATGAATATCTATATTGGAAACTGATCATCAACAACAAATTGGAAGTATAAATTATACTATAAATAGCAATAACAATAAAAACGTGCACAATAATTTGAAAGAAACTTTTTTACAAAGTTAAAAACCCCGCGTTCAAATTTTATGTTGCAAAAAATTAAAAACGTAAAATAAATGCTTGAATAAAGGTTATTCTAGTGGATTCCAAAGTCACGTAAAGTGAGTTTCTGTTCAATAGCTTCGCGTTTGTCCAATTTCCATTTTGGTTGAGTTTCAAAGACTAAAGATTTTGTTAATAATTGCAAAAGAAAAAATATCCATAGAAAAAACAAAGAAAAAATATTTGAAAATTGAAATTTAGAAGCAAAATGGCAAGCAGAAAATTCCTCCCTCTCCAAAATGGACATTCATCGAACCAACAGGAGCAACAAAACATCAGTGGCCACAGTCTTTCAAATGGCTTTCATATTGAACAAAGAATCGCAATCCCAGAAATGTGCTTCTTCTGCTTTGACGTTCTTCATAAAGAGCTTCACGGATTGGAACGTCATGTTGAACCAAACATTTTAGGGATCTCCAACATGGCTTTGTAAGAATAAGTCGACATATTTTATCTATTTTCTTTATCGATGATTTATTTTTAGTCCGCTCTTTGTGACCTGGAAGATTGGACGAGATCAACGTTTACGTGGTTGTATTGGAACTTTTTCTGAATTAAATTTACATTCAGGATTGAAGGAATATGCACTAACAAGTGCATTAAAAGATTCACGTTTTGATCCAATTTCAAGAGACGAGTTACCACGATTAACTGTTTCCGTTTCCATTTTGCAGGTAAATTAAATTATTTTTATTCGTCAGTTTTTGGTAATACAAATTTTTTTGATTAGGGCTTCAAAGAAGCACGCGACTATTTAGATTGGACTTTGGGAGTTCACGGAATAAGAATAGAATTTGTTAATGAAAGAGGATCAAAACGATCCGCTACTTTCCTGCCGAATGTGGCAACTGAGCAAGGTAATCAAGAGATTCATCATCATCAGGTCCAGAACGATTTTCCCTGATGAGAAACTCCACATGATTGCGTTAGCACAAAAAACAAGAGACTTTCTTTTTTCTTAAGATGAATATATAAATAAATATTTTTTCCTTTCTCTCTCAAGGCTGGGATCAAATCCAGACAATTGATTCATTGCTGCGTAAAGGCGGATTTCGTGGCCAGATAACAAATGCAACACGCAACTCCATTAAGCTCATCAGATACACTTCACAAGAGATTCATATGACATACACAACTTACGTGGAGTATCGTGATCGTTATCATGCCCAAGGTATTATCACTTGTCGCGTTCAGTGCTAACAAATGCGATACTATTGAACGCGAACGAGGTTTCTTTGACACTTTCCGACGACGATTGTGCTTTTCTTCTTTCTTTTTTACCCCACCTTAGGTAGGTATGCTAAGTTTTTTGTTTCAAAAACGTTCTTGAATCATTCTTTCTCATTAAATAAGCTTCGTTCTTAAACTTTCCTCCATTATTTTTGAGCTACACATAAACATAAATAGTTTAGTTATTTTTAACTAATTAACAACTCTATGTCTAATATAATTGACGTCATTCATTTGTTATGAAATTTATATCTTCACCAACTCTCGATAACTTATGATAATAATGTAAATAAAAGTTGATTCCGATCATTGTTATACGAAATGTAAGCATTGAGAATAAGAATCTTTGACTTTCAATTAAACTTTATTTGATGAAGATCTCTCACGCTTATTAAGTTATTTACTTTTACTTCTAAATAAGTGAGTTAAATATCTAAAACAATCAAAACCAAGGGTTTTATTATTTCTTGATTTAATACGAAATCGAAAAGTTCGAAAGAGAGAACAAAGAGAACTTTCAAGACTGTTGGGAAAGAACAAAAAATTGTTTCAGTAGTAAAAAGCTTGCAGGTTCGTCAGAGCTTTCTTAGTCATTTATGAATTATTCTCACAATGTTCGTTCCATTGAAACTTTTATTTGGTTTGAAATCAAAAGCTTTTTGTTGTTAAAATCGCCGCCCACTATTTTTAACGATGTCGTCAAATTATTCATTCTTTGATGACTTTTAATTGTGATTTTACTTTCTTAATATTTTCATTTTCATTTCTTGATGATGTTTGTTTTATATTTTATCTATTAAAAATGAAGATGTCATCAATTTCTTTTAATTTAGAATTCTTGTGATGAGAAGATTTTTGTTGCAGATGTTTTAGGTCATTGAATTCTTAGTTTGAGTTTTTTGGCTTTGCAAATATTTTTATTCATCGATTGTGTCTTCTCAAATGACACCAGAAATGCTTCAATTTTGTTGACTTTACTTCCTTAATTGATCACTTCGTTATGCATAACATACGATGATGATGATGACCATACATTAATATGAGAGTTATTAATCTTAACATAATAAGTATTTAAAGAAATTAACATGATGAATGCGTATTAATCGTATCAATAGACAACTCAACAAATATCGTTCGACTTTATGGAATAAAAAATACAAAACTTTCGATTTAAATATTAAATTTCCTAACTAATTCTCTTCACCACCGCCGTAAAAAAATTATGAAGATTTTCAGGCAACTCACAACTTGACATAAGTTAATAGAATAAGATACCAGAAAAGCTAAAGATGTAAACCAATCTGTAAGAAACCTCACGAATGATTTAATGGTATAACATGTGATTGATTGTTTTCACTGCCAGACTCGTGTTAAAGTAGCAAATGAGAGAAAATTGGAGAAGTTCCCAACTTAACTTTAAAAATAAAAAACAAACAAAAAATTTATATCTAAACCGATAAGAATGAGTGAGTGGTTTGATGATCTAAAAAAGAAAACGAATAAACTAACTGTGCTAAAAATAAAAAATTCAATGAGAACATTTCATGCGTTAAGATTCAAACAACAAAGGAATTAATATTTTAAGATATTATGATGAATATGAAAGCAAAAAAAACAAAATATTTTTGGAAAAATAAAGAAATTAATTAACTGTTTGCAAATGAAATTTAAAGCTTTTAGAACCTTCATTGTTTTCCTTTTCCTCAGGTCTAATTGAAGTTTATGACTTGTCGTGTTAAGAAGTCAGTAAACTTAACAAAGAGTTAGAGATTCTCTCGAAGTAAGTCACACAAAAAAACATCACCACGTTTGAATGATTCACTCACAAGGCTACCGGCAATATTTCTCACTGATCAAAATTCAAAGCTATTTCTCAAGTCACGTGTCATTGATCGTCTTCTTCTATTGTATTGTTTCTTTTCTCATAATAAACTGTTTAGGCTGACAACTTTTGGTAAAGGTACAAGAAAGCTTGTGCGAAATCGAAGAGTAACCATCAAGGCCGATGGATTTTCTCATGCGGCTTATGAACTTGTGTTATAAGTTAAGTTAATAAATGTTACACATACCTGAAGCATCATTTAGCACTCTCGCTATGGTTTGCATTTTGCTATGTATTTACATAGATATCTAAATATTAACAACCGACGTTGACCTACATAATTTAAAAATATTTCAGGAACTTTTTTAAATTTTTATTTCATCATTTTGTATCTCCGGTTCTTAAAAATATTTTTCTTTATTCTTATATTCAGTAAAAAACTTAATTTATTCATGAGTGAAATGCCATGAAAATTTCTGGGAAAAGAATTGATGAAAGTTATGGCAATGCAATTATTGTGTTACGAAGTATTTAAAAAAATTCTTATTCAATTTGTTTCAGTCAGACGACACGAAATGTCACAATAATTTGTTTTAAAAGCTTCTTTTTCTTTCAAATTATTGATCAATAAATCTGATTTGGATCGATCGGCTCATTAACATTACAAAGAGCAGGATATGAAGGATTCTTTCCAAAGAGACATCCTGAAGCTGGCGATCCACATTTATAAATTTTGTAACCTTTAATGTTTCCAGATGCATAATTACAAGCAAATAGTCCAGTTTTGTAACTATCAGTGTAACGAGCAAAGGCACAACCGACATGAGTTGCACGATCGTAAGCTGTTCAGTGAATTAAAATATTTTTAAATCAAAACTTCTTCAAAAATTATTTTTTCTTACCCATTTGTGTGAAGTGTCCAATGTCATGTCTAAATAAAAATTTCGATTAATTTCTAAGAAAAAGGGAAATTAAATTAATTATAGTTACATGTTCCTTCCACAGCAACTGTTGATTGCTGATTGATCAGTTAATTCATATTCATTGAACCAAATCAACATGCTGTTGACCATTAAACTGGTGACATCTTCAAATCCCCAAGATTGTCCACGCCATGCTAAATTCTGACCAGCAAACCTGAATTGCCCTAAAGATGCCAAATAAATCACATTAAATAGTTTGATAGTTTGAAGACGAAAAATGGATAACACGAGCGACGAATTCGGAAACATTTGAATATTTATCGTACGATTCATGCTTGAGAGAGTTTCTAAGCTCCGTCTTTTTGATTATCTTTTATCGGGCGAAGCTCCAGGTGTTCAGAAGACGTAAATTTCGGGAATGGAAAAAGTTGCATGTCATGAGTGATTTTAAGTTTCAAATCCTTGATACATATTGAGAATTAGGTATTTAAAATTTGAAGTTCACGAGCAGAAGATGGAAAGAATTTTAATTTCGAAGAGAGTTTCGGGTTTGTTGGGATTCAAGTTTTATATAGAAAAAAAAGATAAGTAGATACTTACAAGTGTTCCGGCATGAATCTTGATATTTTTTGGTAGAAAAAAGAAGAAAAATTCAAAATTAATATCATAAATTTTTTTTTTTTTCTCAAAATAAGATCGCAAAGAATTAATTTTTCATACCATGTCGCATTCTGCATTGAAGCACGTTTAAAGTCGCAAGATAAGCCAATTCATCGCTCCATTGCTTTAAGCATAAGAAGATAAGTGAGAAGATTCGTTAGACAAAATATTCACATCAAAAAGTAAATTGTTATTCAATCCACACATGTCTCGGCTTTATTTGTTTTGCATTTGTTGAGAATTGTGAATGAAAAATTTTTGAAATTCTTCTTACCATTGTTGCCATCCGACTTGCGCTGCAATAACCTCTAATGGATCCACTTGCTATTTTATTTCTAAATATTTCATTAAAGACATTCAATTGCATGAATTTGTTTGCATATTTAATATTTATCTACCTCAGAAAATTGTGAGTGTTTAGAATTGTTTGCTTTTGATCTCTTGACAGACGAATCAAGTGCCGATCTGCAGGGCATGTGTATGAGAAGAGCTGTTATGGTGATAATAAATCAATAAATCATAAATTTAATACTTGATGATAATTAGAAACTTACCCCGGAATGTCTGCAGGCAATATGTGAACTGCCACTACATAAACTCGAATCGCAGTAATTTTGAGCATCAGCGAGGTAAATCCAGCCGGTCACGAGTAGCACAAAAATCTTTTCAAGGAACTTCATCTTTTGTCTTTTATATATCACTCTTATTTTAATGTCACACTAAAAATTTTTTTGATCCACTCGCGACTACGATCCACCGTCAACTGACAACTTCGCTTTGAAATAAAATTATTGTGAATGAAAATCGAAGAAAGAAAGACGACTTTTAACTTCTCTTCTCGTTCTGGCGAAATATTTTCGTTATCTTTTTCTTTTTTTTTTGGAAACTGCGCTAGCTTTTTTAGTTATCACAACACAACCAGACAAGAAGACTACATGTAAGTAATCGAGAAGCGAATGAAGTAAAGAACATATGACATGCCTTCAAAAGACGGAGATAGAAATGAATTTGCCTTTTTTATCTCTCTTTTATTTGGTGAAAAACTGGTTTGAAAATGAAACTTTTCTCTTACAGATCAAGTCGTTTTTATGTTAATTTGTATCTCACGTGCAGAATAAATCCAAGGAAAGAATCAATTAAATTTTTATGATCTTCTCGGTTAGCTCGATGCTTCCTTTTTCAAAAAAAATTGTTTTTGTGGCCGATGACAAGGAAGGAAGAATTGTCTAGTCACGTTGTTAATTTGAATATTTAACTTGTTCTAATCAATTAAACATTTTATAAATTATTCNAAAATCGAAGAAAGAAAGACGACTTTTAACTTCTCTTCTCGTTCTGGCGAAATATTTTCGTTATCTTTTTCTTTTGGAAACTGCGCTAGCTTTTTTAGTTATCACAACACAACCAGACAAAAAG